CTCCCTCCCTCCCAGTTACGCAACCTCCGCCTGGGCTCAGACCCACCTGTATCCCTACGTGGATCCCAGCCACTTGCAATCCGAGTACCGGAGCCTCCTTACCCTCAAAGAGCTGCTCTCCTACTCTCCGGACCTGGTCTGCCTCCAAGAGGTAAGCCTTCCCTCCCCCCTTCCTCCCCTCTTTCCTCCCCTCCTTCCTTTTCCTTTTCTTTCCCTTTTTTATTCTGGGATGGAATCCGTCTCATGCTTCCTTTTGCCTTCCACTCAGGATGCAACCGCCATTGTCATCCCCACGTCCCTCTACTCTCCAAGATTCGATACCCTCCCTCACTCCCTCCCTCCTTCCCTCCTTCCCAGGTCGACGAACGTGTATTTCGCGAGCTCCTCTCCCCTGTCCTCTTATCTTCAGGTCTAGCAGGTAAGACGACGGACACGTCGAGGGAAGGAGGGAGGAAGGGAGGGAGGGAGGCAGGGAGGCAAGAAAGTACCTCTGTGCTGCCTCCGCGTGCACGCACCTCCTGTTCGCAAGCCAGGCCTCTGCCCGTTTTTGAGGAATGACTGTAACGTGCTCGCAAGTCTCGGGTATTAAGGCATGGTGCGATCGTCGTTAAAGCAACCAGGGCATGCCAGGAAGCTTCAAATGAATGCCGTCCACCCGTCCTCCCCGTGGCTGAACCCCCCGACTTTCCTGGAGGACCCTCTCTCATTTTCACGAGCCCTGGTGTTTCTCCGCCACGCCCAGGCTTCCACCACTCCAAATGCGGCAATACCCGCGAGGGTGCCGCCCTCTTTTACCGGCTGGAGCGCCTGGCCTGTATGGGCACGTTTGACTTCGAGATGCGGGAAGCTTTCGACAGGAAAGATAATCCTTTCAAGGTAACATTTACCGTTATTACATGGTTCTAGGGTTTGCCTCTTCCCTCGTAATCATTCTTTAACCCGTCACTTGCCCTGTTCTGCTTTCTCTTTTCCCTCTTCTCCCTCACACGATTTCTGCGTCTTCCCCTTTGCGCCTTTTTTTCCCCTTTTTTCTAAGTCTGTGGCCCCCTTCCTCATTCTGACTGCATAGACACGAGGATAAGACTGTGAGGTCTATGTGTGGGTGAAAGAATGAGCTGCCGAGCATCTCTGTGGCCATTTTTACCCGCGCTACTCGTATTATGTACGCGCCTTGCGCTCCATACCTCACTTCTTTTCTTTCTTCCTCACTTGCCTAGCCCCTCCAAGACCGCTATCCTGCACTTCGCGCCATTTTGTGTGAAAAACTGACGACGGTCGGACAGATCGTGCTTTTGCGTCTCGAGGTGTGTGTGTGGGCGAGGGTGTGAGGGAAAGGAAAGCAGAGTCTGGACGGGGCGAGGAAGGGGGGGCATGGAAAGGTTACCTTCATGGATTCATGAGCGTCCTCACCGCACGGTAGGAGGAGGAGGAGGACGGGCAAGAACGCCTCCTGCTCGTGGGGAATACCCACCTGTTTTATCATCCCATGGCGCAGCATATCCGGCTCATGCAGGTAGGAGGGGGGGGAGGAAGAGAAAGAGGAAAGAGAAATATTGCCTTTATGTCCTGGTGTCGGGGGGTATATCAGGCAAAGGCTCGATGCGAGCTAAGCACTTACACTTGAGAATTGCCTCCCCCTCGCTATCTCTGCCTCGCTCCCTCCCTTTCCCCCTCCCTTTCCTCGTCCAGATGGCCACCCTGGTGAGAGAAATGACTGCCCGGCAGGGCGAGATCGAGGACAAGTTCGGCGTGCGACCTCGTCTGGTCCTGTGCGGCGACCTGAATAGGTGAGAAAGGGAGAGAGGGGGAGAAGGAGGGAGCCCAGGAGGAAGGAGGGTACTTGGCTCGTCCACCTCCTTTACTGTAAAGGGCCAGGGAGGGTGCCAGATGCGAGCGCGTCCGCTGCGTACCTCTTCGCTCCTCTAACCCTCTTCTCTTGATTTCCCTTTCCCTCCCCTGCTTCTTCCCTGCCGCTCCTTTCCTAGCACCCCCACTACCGCCACGATCCGCTACCTGCGCGGGGAGACGATCGGCCCGGAGGACGAAGTCTGGGAGCACCTCCACGTCTTCGGGTGGGGCAAGCGGCAAGGCGAGGGAGAGGAAAAGGAGGAAGGGGAGGCGGCAGCGACGGCGGCGGTCCTCGAAGCAGAAGAGGGAAAGAAGGGCGGGGAGGAGGGAGGGGATGGGAAGGCTGTAGCGGTTGATGATGGCAGGGTAAGTGGTAGCGCAGGGGCCAGAGGCATGACGGTCTTATTTTTTCTCCCTTTCTGCTCCTTCTCTTCCTCCCTCTGCATTCCTGGACACGCACCCTACATGCTATGGCATTGCGAACGTCATGTGCTGTTCAAGTTTGGCAAACCAAAATGTTGTGTCTAAGCAAGCGTACGCGCCATACAACCTTTCCTTGTCTTGTCTCCATTGTCTCATAGGAGAGTAGGGGGAGAGAGACTCTCCTTTCCAGCCGCGCGACGCCGCGCGTGGAGGCGCGGGAAGAAAAAGAGAAGGAGAAGAACTCTAAGGAGAAAGGGAGCATGGCCTCAGACGGGGACGTGATCCCCACGCTGTGCTTGACACGACCTTTTTTCAGTGCCTGTGGCTTACCCGACTTCACGAACTACGTGCAGGTGAGGGTTGAGGACACGGCGGGGGGGATAGAGGGAAAGGGCAGAAGAGCTCAAATTATTTTATCTTCTTTCCCTGTCTCCATCCGCCCACCGGTGCCATTATTCCACGCTTTTTTCCATATTAGGGCTTTGTCGAGACTTTGGATTACATTTTCTTGGAGTCGGAGGCCCCAGTCCCATTGGATCCCTCCGGTGCGAGCTTCTCCGTGCTGTCGGTAGGCGCCATGCCGACCAGGGAGGAGGCGGGTCAGGACACGGCGTTGCCGTCCTGGCAGGCGCCCTCGGACCATGTGAGCATCCTTTGCGATGTCCGCGTGCAGTGAGGGAGGCGGAATTAGAGGAGGGGAGAGAGGAAGATGGGGGCTGAAAACAGACGGGGGACGGCACTACATCTTCACGATTTTTGGGAGGGGAATCATAGGTGGTGTATTGCGGTGACATAGAGAAAAGTCTCGATTGAAACATAAATTGGGTCGTAGAAAGCATAACGGAAGTACTGATTCCTCCTGCAAGGGGACCCTGGCTGTGAATGGTGGCTGGGCGGGTCTGTTTTGAGCCTTAAGGGAATTTTGGCTTTCGATAGGAATACTCGAGGGTATTGTTCCCTGTAGCAAGTGCATTCGATCATCGTTTTAACCTTTTTCTATTCGTCAGTCACAACTCTTGACCGTTCGCAATGAGGACGGTGAGATCGGTGCATTGACCCATTCAATTCTCCACTGTCCTTCATCCTACCGAGAATTGCCAATATCCACGCAGGTTGTTGCTTTGTCGATCGCTTCCCTTGAAACATCCCCATGTTCCCCATCCCGCATTGATCATACACCCATGTCATACCCCACCCTTTACCCTCTGGACTCCCAATCCTCCCTATTTTTCATGTTCCAAAAACTAAGCCTGGCCCGTTTCTGTTTCTTTATTTCGCATGTTTGGTCCTCCTCTCCGATATACTCTACAAAATTCCCAGTCATTTCTACAAAGCATGTCAGTGCACACCCGCACAGACACGACTGCAGCATATACACCAGTCTGGTCCACTTTCAGACCACAGCCTTGTTATCAATGCGCCCATGCCTGGCTATTTAAAGCTATCTAGACTGACTGATATTTCCAAAAAAGATCTCTTTTTGAAATCCAGCCGCCCTTCTTTCCCTCCCCAAAATATGTTTCCAACCCCATAGCCCCTACAAAGCCGTGCTCCTCGATGTCACCAAGCCAGAAGCCTGCAAATGCGCCACGTCATTCAGGGACCGCGCTTGAAAAATAAATTCCTCCTCCAGCCCTTCAACCTTTCCTCCCTCATTTCCTTGCCCTTTCTTCCCATCCTCCGTACCCAGAGAGGAGAGAGTGTCAGAGGCTAATTGGCAGGTGTCCGCTTGTGAGTCTTGTTCTTCCCCCTCTTTAGCTCCTCCTTTCCCTTCATATCTCTCGTTGTTCGCCAAATTATTGGACCCCGCAAGAGGGTAGGCCTCAACCACGCTTATGGAGGCATTTAAGACTTTTTGCACTGTGTAAAACTTGAAAACCTGACAAATGGCGCGAAGAAAGGCCGTGACAAGAGCGTGTAGCATAGCGGCCGATAATTGAGGATTTTGAGGGCAGAGGGTTGACAAAAAATACAAAAGAGAGGGATGGGTGTCTCCTCGAAGGGGCAAGCACCGTAAACCCCAAAAAATGTAATGGTATTCATGAATTGCATCGCATATTACATATTCAAAAACGCCTTTAAGAAACAAAAGAGAATCGTGCCAAATACGTTGAAGAGTGAGCATGAAACAGGGACGAGCACGTCAATTACCTTCTGAAACATCTGGAGGAGCAAGCCGCCGTGGGAGACGAGCAGGACGCGCGCGGGCCCTCTTTGTCCTTCCGCTTCCGGAGCCCCCTCTCTTCCTCTATTTTCTACCTTGGCAAGATCGGCCGTGCATTTCTCTTCTCTCTCGCCCCCGGCTTGCATTTCTGCTGCTGCAGTCAGGACACGTCGGACGAAGGAGCGGGCACGGCAATGAAGCGAGTGAAGGGTCTCCGATGGCATATGTTGCAGCTGTTCGAGGGGAATGCCCTAGAAAGGTAACAAGGGTGTAGCAAAATGCATGTTTATAATAGGAATAGGCAGTGAGTAAGCGCAGGGGGGAAGGGAGGGATAGGCAGGTAAAGGCTGAAAATCGACAAACGACAGAGAAAGGAAATCTAGCAATAACGAACAGGCACACCTACATAAAACTATCGATCTTGAACGGAAACTAAGGGGCAGAGAATTAAAGACACAAGGGGAAGGGAGGAAAGTAGAAACCGCACTCAGGCACCTGCTTCAAAGCCGTCCGACGCATTGCCTCCTGCAGTGAAAGACCAAGCGGCTGGCCCTCCCGCGCGCCTCCTGAGATTTCCCTAAGATCGGTGTCAAGGGTCAGCAGGCTTTCAAGTCCAATGTCATTCGCATTGTCGTCGTTATGACAGGTATTGCTGCTGGTGTCGTTGCTCCCGTGATGACTAGGATCCTTGCTTGGTTGGCGCTTTCCACCTGTCAGTTCCTCGACGATTATCTCGGCGGTATTTTTCGCTCTGTTGGAAAATATATACCACGCAAGGGGAACGAGAAGGGGTTGGGCGGTGAATGCATGGCAGCGAGATAATCATTCCCTCTTCTCTTTTATTCTCAAGTACTCTCATATATCCGTACAGAGCCCTAGTTTTCACTCTTCATTTACTGTTCTTGGCCTTACCTTGTTAAATCACTAGAATATATGCGGTCAAAGAAGCAAGAGACATCCCCTGTTTCCAGGTCTTGTAAAGATGCATCTTGCCGAAGCCGTCGGCCCGTCTCCTGCGCTTGCTGCCTTCCCGTGTCTGTCAAAGGATAATCTCGTTGGCCCTGGAGAATACCTTGCCGGTTTCCGGTGCTTTCACCATGCCGTATAATATAAAAAACGACGAGCGGGGATGTGGCGAAGTGCTTTCGTTTCGCAGGATGTGAAGGTGGGGAAAATGGCAGCATATTATCCCGGCGAGGTTATCTTGCGAGGATGTTGCCCAGAAGTATCCTGGAATCTATTTCCCTGAGTTAGCAGGAAGGAACAGATGCATTTCCTGCTGAAAGATCAACGTTCGAAATGCGTGTCTGGATACATGAGATGTGTTATATGAGGAGACGTGTTTTCTAATGCCGATTTATGGCGTTTGTTCGCTCTACCCTGACAAGCACAATTCAGCACTCTACGATTACTACCCACGGACTCTCAACCCATATCCTTGTTCGTCTTTCCTCGAATTTACTTTATAGTCTACCCCTGTTACTCAGGAATTTGGCTATTGTTTCAAAATGGAAGTGTTCACCGTGCACTCATGTCGACCACACCTTGCAAAGAAGTTCAAAAGTTAAGCAACAAAGCGCTTAAGCATCGACCTTAGAGCTCCTGAATTGATACCTCATGACGTTTCATGGCTCAGATTTCAGTTGTTGTCGTCGCGTAGGTCTATTTTGTGAGATTATCCTTAGTACGGTCGTAGTAATCCGGGAGTCAGGTGGCAAGTGTGCCTAGTAACGGTTTTTCAAATTTGGATTCCATGTCGGCCACGCCCGAGCAGGGAATTTTTAGGGCAGCTGAAATGATTGAAAAAGATACCTATAGCTTGTATATATTGTTTATATTGAGGTATAGTGTTCTTAAATAGTGATATGTTGTTCGATGGATTGAGACTTGATACGGAAAACGGCACAGGCGTTCGAAGAGCTCTTTTCTTCCGGGATGAGTATCATCCTTTCTGCTATTCCTCATTTCCAGGTGACTGCAGACTATTACTTCCTGTGGTGTCCTGTAGATGGGGTCAAATTTCGAAGATGGGGTCGCATTTTCCATTCTCTCGTCATAGACATTTGGATTTCATATTGCTGGAGCTGTGCGATGCGGCGCTAAAATTTTGCCTGTCTTTTCATGCATGGCGAGCTACTTTCAGATGGCGTAGTGTTCACATGCCTTTGCGTCGTGATTCCCGAACTTTATTCCTCCGTGGTCACCGCTCGCAAAATTCAAGCTTCCTTTAACTAATGACATTGGTCTCTTTCTGTTGCTTCTTCGCAATCAAACAGGACACAGCCCTTCACGCTGCGACATGACGGTTAATATCAAGGTCATTAAGGATAGCTATGTGCGCCCTACGACCCCCCCGGCCACTTCCGCCGGCTCGTCTCCTCCACGCGTCGAGCTTGCTGGAGTCGATGTTCTCTTTAACCGCATGAATCTCCGCGTGGTCTACTTCTTCCCTGCTCCCCTTTCCCCTCACGTCCTCCGCTCTTCTCTCTCCAAAGTCCTGGACAAGTACCCCATTCTGGGGGGGCGCCAACGAAAGGAGGGAAAGAAGACGCACTACATCGAATTGAACGGGAAAGGGGTCTTGGTCCGGCAACAATTGGCTACCGTGAAAGGCGGGGACAAGGGGAAAGGTGCCCTTTTGGACGACGAGTTCATCAAAACTCACATCCATTCCTTCGTGCATGGAAATAAATCTGCCGCCGTGAACCAAGACCGAGAGAGCAACCTCATCATCACCCTCACCGAAGTTGACTACGAGCAGGAGGAGGAGGCAGGGATGGGTGAGTCCAGGGGTTTTGTGGCTTACCCGACTTCACGAACTACGTGCAGGTGAGGGTTGAGGACACGGCGGG